CTATTTTGTTCATAGCTGTGAATAAGAAAGTGGGAGCATCAAGCAGTCTAATTAAACTTTGGGAGAATAAAGAGAAGTTTTCCTTAAGCTTTTCCTTTACAATTAAAAAAATGTGAGCTATCTGGAAATCAGTGAAAGTGTAAGAATGAAATTAACATTTAAAAATATATTAAGCTTCCCTTGTGTATCAGGCATTAGATTATGATGATCAACAAGGAATGGCTATCTTACTTGAATCAAAAAAGTTTGAAAAAATAGGAGAATATGTGGATTCCTGAAACAGGAAAAAGTAAATGAAAGAGAAACTTGAAAAAAGCAGATTTTGAACAATTTTGCCAATTTTAATGATCCCTCCCCCTTCTTTACCTGAGCCATAACATATATTCTGCTTTCAGATTTGTGCTTTACAGTTGAATGTGGACCCCAGTCCTTAAAATGCATGAAGACATTTTGGGGTCTTTATGCATAATTATATTCTTCCAAAACAGAGTTCGACCAAGTACTGACAGACACCTGCTCTGTGGTCAGCATTATGATAACCGCTGCAGGCTGCATGCTGTGAAAGATGATTTGCTCTGCCTTTGTGTCTTAGCTCTCCACATCCTTCTCAGACACATAGCTGTGTGTGTGTGTGTGTGTGTGTGTGTGTGCACGTGTGTGCGTGTGTGTGCGCACACATTCAATATTTTTCTTTTCCCTTTAAATCAGCACTCTGTGATAACAAGAACACATTTTGGTACTGAGTTGGGAAAGGAAAATTGAGAAGTTGCTTAAATGACTCATTCTTGTTCACATTTTACAAAGTTTCATTTATTTGACAGCCCCCTTTCCATGTGACTCCAACAATCTTGGCAGCAGCACTGAGGCTGAGATGACAATGACTGAGTCCAGTCCCCTGAACAAAAGTAAATCTCTTCCAGCTCTGTGTTCTAATGGTAAGAAAAACCATGTAACTCTCCATCTGGATATCAGAGTCTTGCAATTCCACAAATAACACTCATATTTGAAGATCTGTGATAGACCAAAAAGAAAAAGAACATGAATTTTATGATGTCTATTTTTGGCAATTTGGGATTTACTAATAAGAGTTGGCATTAGAGAAGGAAGCTATCTGAAAATCCTTTCCTCCTAAATCGATATTCTTGTAAAAGGATGCCCCATGGAGTTTGGTGTGAGATGATAAAAGATAGGCACAGGGTTTGGGAAATTCTCAAAAAGGCAGAAAAATAGCATTACAGAGGGAGAAGATGTAAATGGAATGAGAATTTTAACAAAGCTAGTGTGGCCAATTCTGGATATGTAAAGCAACTTGAGGATTATCCAAAGGAATAAAAGCCAACAGCTAGAAAAATGTCAGTATGAGCTAGTAGCGAAGAAGACAGTGGAGATAATCAGCCTTTTAGGGAAGCAGTTAGAGCCTCAAAGAAAATCAATGATGGTTCAAAACATGTCTGAATCCAAGGTATGCTCCTTGGGCAGAGTTCCCACTTGAAGCCAAAAAGAAGAACTTTATGCTCAGAATAGTTAGGAAGGACAAACATATTCTGAGTAGAAGGAGGATCCACCACAAAGTGGCATAAAACATGTGAGCAAGAACATATAGCACAGGTTGTTTTCTCCCAGACTGAATCACATTTTATTGAGAATAATGTGCACATGTATTAATAGCTGTACTGAACTGAACAATAGTGTATGTCCAATCACACTGAGTGATGTGGTTTCCAAGGAACAACCTGCATGGCCCAAGCCATGAAAGGAAAAAAAAATCACTGCCAATAAAAAAAAAAAAATGGTCAAAGTTATTTTTATTCCATCTCAGCAGCTTCCTCTCCCCTTCCAAGAAAATATAACATCTAAAAGCTCAAGCAGATTCTCAGTTGAATTGTAAAGGAGTATTAATAAAGTAATCCTTCTTTTTTATTAAAATCCTATCTGCCTCTCTTGAAGAAACTCTAAAAGACTGCAATTCTTAGACTCCAGTGGATTCCTTCCTGCTGACTCATCCAGGGAAGCTGGAAAAACGAGACCATGCTGGCATACCTCTTGAGGCACAGGCTGTCAGCTCATTTCTACAAACAAGTCAGCAGCTGGATGCATCCTAAGAACTGGGAGAGAAACCTGGTGGGTGGCCTGGATGGGAGTCTGAACTTTGTAACAGAAAGACAGGAGATACTTCTGGCGTTGGAAGCTGAGGGAGGTGCTTGAAGCCCATGGAAAGGTGCCAGTCCGCATCAAGACTAAGTCATAAAGGAAAATCTGCCCAGATGCCAACACTGACTGTGTGAAAAGGAAGCCCTTAATCACTGTACAGAATGTGTTAAAGATGCAATGGCAAACACAAAGAGAAATACGTCAAAGATTTGTATAGGAGTAAGAGTTAGCATTAGAGTTGTTACTTTCCCTCAAATGATTGTGTTGAATCTTCACAATTTCACGGATGGAAGAAAAATAGTTATTTTCTATTTAGTATTGTGTCCACTTCCCAGGTTTATTGTAAGGCTAGAAATGAGATATTAAATGAATGGATTCCTTTGTATGGTCACTCAGGACGTCATGGGACCACCCAAGGAGAACAGGTCCGACTCTTCCACTATGCACCCATAAGAAACCCACATTTAGATGCCTCATGGCCCCAGTGCTCACACAACAAGCCCACCCACACATCACAGAGCAGGATCCCAACTCAGACCCTTAGACATCTTTGTCACCAAATGACTCTTTCTTTGGAATATCTGAGGTCAACTCTTCCATGTACAGTTTTCAATCCTACTATCTTTATTCGGCAAAAGAAAATCAATTAATCTCTCTTGTTTTTAGTCCCTCATGTTCTTTCTTCTCTTTGGTTTCTTGTCCTTTAAACTATTACACTATAGACTTATATATCTTATTCCTTTATATAAGAGGAAAAACCCCTATGAGATCAGTAGCTTCTCCCCCATACGATGCTGCATGGTGTACCATGTAGAATTAAGGTAAGGGTGATGATATATGGACTCCTCAATGCCACTTTAAAGCCACTATACTTTTATGTTGTTTCTCATGTGATCTGCCTATACCACCATGTATAATCTGTGTTTCTAAACCTACTGACTGGGCTGGGGATAAGCTCAGTGGCATAAGCACCTGCCTGGCAAGCACAAGATTATGAGTTTGATTTCTGGTACCAAATAAATAGATAAATACATAAATACACCTATTGACTTTCTGGCCACATCCTTCCTGACATAATAGTCCTCTTTTCCCTCACAGCCAACTCTGCACCATTCTAGAAAATGTACGTGCAGCCCACTCAGCACCCTCAACCTTCTGCTTCTTCACCTAAACACCCAATAACAAATCCCACTTTTATTCAATTTATATCACCCCACAGTGTCAGGGATACATTCTGAAGTTTTTCATCACCAAGAATTGCTCCACCCCAAAATACTAACTTTAAATATTCCATTTTTTGATCAGTTTCCTTTCCTCTGGTGTCCTCAAGACCCTTTCATGTGGTCTATCTGCATTTCCCAAAACAATACCTCCCTCTCTCTCTCCATTGCTCTCTCTATATATATGTACAAATATATCAGTATGACATTTCCACATTCTTCAAAATATCTCAAAACCACATGTCCAAAATTTATTTTTATCTCTGCTTCTCTCTTTTACACACACACACACACACACACACACACACAAAGGCAAATCACTTCTCTTATCTCCCCCTCAGTAAAAGGTATCACCACCCAGGTGCTTGCGATAGAAAGCTGGTAGTCATCTGTGCCCCCTCCCTCTGCCTTACCCAGTCATCAACAGTATTTACCAGTATTATCTCTTAATCCTCCCAAGTCCAATTCCTTTTCCCTGTTCAAATAATGAACCACAATATTGTTAAAAATAAGGAAACCAAACCTGAGAGAGGCCAAGAAATTGCACAATTCACACAACTGGTAGCTGACAGAGCCAAGTCAGACTCCTGTCTGCTTCCAAAACCTAAGCTTGAAATTAGAGAATGTCTCTTCATGTAGGGGAGATTTTCTAGCCCAAAATGTACCCAAGAAGCTCAAAGGAGACTATTTCAATTGCAGGATGACCCTCAAACCAAGGAAAGGGTGCTTAGAGTCACATAAGGATGTATCTTCCTCACCTAGTAGAACTAAGGGCTGTTGAATCACAAGAGACAGCCCCATAGCCCCAGCTCTAAAGAAAGAGAAAATGGGCACCACAGCAGAGCCAGACTCAGACATGATGCCCTACTAAAATTTACTTCACATAAGCCACAAACTAATCCTCCAAGGGAAGCTGTGCTCAAAACGTTTGGGGATTAGTGATCTACATGCAGTAAAGACATCTGTTTTTGCAGAAGGGAGTCTTTCATTTCACTACCAAGGATCCTTTTGAAAACTTCTTTTTGTCAGCTTGTACTAGGATTCACTAGAGTAAAAAAAAAAAAAAAAGAACAATTAAATTGTATGCATAGTTATACAAAGATATACATTAGGTAGAATTACAGCATCAAATGTGGAAGAGTCATAAAAGCCATCTGTGGGACCAGAGGCTAAAGAGTCCAATCCATCTGAGTGCTGGGAAGCCAGAAGATCCAGGAGCAGTTGATATCAAAGGTCTAGAAGCTCGCTATGGAGTCACCAGTACAAATCTGCAGCAGAAGCCTGCAGAGTCTGCACTGGAAAGTTGAAGAGTCCATTTTGAAAGGCTAAAGAAGCTGAAGATCCATATCCAGAGGCAATGGCAAAGACTGGAGTCCTTCCAAAACAGGAGGACACTTTCTTCCTCTTTTCCTTTTCAGTCTATCCCAAGCTGCAAGCCCACTGGTTGGTAGCTGCAAGCCCACTGGTTGGTGCCACCCAAATCTGGGGTGGGTCTTCCCCTACTTACATGTCAGTCATCCTCAGACACACCCAGAGTTTACTCATCTGTTAGGCTGTTCTTACTCAAATCAAGTAGATGCATCACAATCAATGATTACACAAATGAACAAAGAAAATTTTTTTACTCACTGTGCTAATACGGGTCCAGTGTATTTTTATTATCTGAGGATGGTAATAGTGGTGGCTGAACTAGATCTAAAATTGAGAAAAATAAAAGGTATATAAATATGAGAGTCCACTGAAGAGATCCTTTCCTGGGCCTACTTCACTCATAACATCCCTGGCAAGTGTCTAGAAACTCCAGAGAACCCTTGTGAAATTCACTCTCTAGTAAAGAAATCATTTATACTTAATTCAGCAATTCTTTGTAGAGCTTTAAATGATTAGGGTGTCATACAGGATTACAATGGTGAAGACAATAATAACAAATACTTTCAAGCACCCACTAAATGTCACCACAAGACCAAATATTTTACACATATAAGTAAATTCTATCTCCCCAACAACAATAAAATAGGTGCTACTTGTTAACAGAGAAAATGGACATATACAGAGTGAAAATAATCACAGGAATAATCACACCTTGTGAGGACTGAAAGAGATAAACATAACTGAATTCTATATACAATACAAGATAGTCATTATATAATTCTTAATTTTTATTTCCAAATGGAGTACCCTTTTAAACACAGAAGTGCTCCTTATGCCCTAAAAGTTAGATGATATTAACAGATGAGTCTTTGTGGCTAATAGGGCTGATAGTGCATTTTAAACATACTTCCAGATATGTATCACTGAATACCTCAAGTTTGTGGCCAACAGACTTGATAATATATTCTTTTTTTCTTGTGGCGTGTTGGGGATTGAACCAAGGAACTTTACACTACCCTACATCTCCAGCTTTTTTCCTGTAAAGAGAGACAGGATGTTGCTAAGTCACTAAGTTGCCCCCACCGAGTTATCACTTAGAATACTGCTGTCCTAATCCGCCTGAGAGCTGAGATTCCAAGTATGCATCACCATATTTAACCAGACTATATAATTTTTTAGAGATCTTTACTTTTTCACGTATGGGACTCAGGCCTCGCTTGCTTATAAACACAATGGTGATTTTCAGATGTAAAGTATCAAATGCAAAAAAAAACTGATTTATTTGTTGTTCTTTCTTTCGGCTAATAAAGAAAAAGATGCCATTGTTATTGTTTATTTTGTTTTGCTTTTGGTACAGAGACTTGAACTCACCACCTCACACTCGCCAGACAGATACAAAAGATGTCTTTAGATATCTGAGTTGTTGCTCCCTGAGTTCCAAAACTGGGAGACCTGGGAAGGAATTGTAGGAAGAGCCTATGCCCAATATGATGCTGTTTGCCAAATGTTTTAGTTCTCCTCCAGCCCTAGTCTGGCGGGGCCCTGTGTCTAGTCCTGACCAGTCTGTTGTAGGAAAAGGGATGTATTCACTTCCAGACCAGATATAAATTATAAAACAAGACTCTTAAAAGACTTTTGTCCTTTAAACTTATGGTATAATGACCAAAAGATGGTTGTTCTAGTAGCTTGAGTTTTAAGTAATTCCACAGAGTGAGTCCCTTGAGACACACATGAGCCATTAGTGAGAAGTGTCTTTTGTTTTTTAAATCACTAAGATTCTTAGATTGCTCATTACAACAGCATAACCTGGTTCATCCTGACTGATTAAACCTGTTCCTGTTTATATTTGGGCTTATGTGGCACCTTTACTCTCAAATTCAGAAGGAAGACTCAAGAATGCACAAGGTGGTGTCCTGGAAATGTTTCTGAGTGTTTCATTTGTTCTCTTACAGAGTTTATACTTTGGTCTGGCTTTTCTCTTTATACTTCTGATGTCAGTGAAGCTGCTCATTAGGGGTACTGAGAAGAAATGAATATGAATGGTAAAATAAATGAATGAAAATTTGTCAACACCCCTCAAAAATTAAGTTACCTGAAATTTGTACAAGACTTATACAAGCATAGACCATAAAGCCTATGGAAAAATGACATAAATAGGATTTATTTTGGACACTATGTTATCTTTTTAGGTCTATTGTGTTTTTATCCTCCTGAGTACGGCCAGTCACAAAGACTTAATTATAAGTTGCATGTATCCATACTTGGTGGCTTAGGATTTTAAGTTAATTTTCATTAAAAGCATTGGCTTTAGGTAATAATTATCATTATTTCTACTTTCACTATGTAACAGATACATAAAGACACATACTTGTGTATCCGATTTATTGCCTCTGGCTCTACAAGGCCAGAGAATGAGAAGACCCCTTGGAAGATGGGAGAAACTACTCTAACACACATGCAAACTAAACAACTTACAAGTTAATTTCTAGAAAGGAATCAAAAGACTATCTTTGTAAAATTAATCTCTTAATGTTTTTACCAAAGTAATTGTGGTGTATCTGAAGAAAAATACCACCGCCTTATAATGAAAAGAGCAGTCACATGTGTAGGGTGAACTCAAAATACTTTAAAGTTTATTTGGTGCCAAAAATACTTTACAGCAAAGGTGAGAGAAGCAACTAAACCTAGAATAACTCCTAGTTTGGGGAATCTAAGCAGCGAAGACAGAAGGTGAGCCATTAATTCAGAAGGGAAGGAGGGATAGAAGAAAGAGAGAGAGGAGAAGCAAGGAATCAAGAGTTTTAATTCAAACATAGAAACTGAAACAGCAAAGTGAAGAAGCTGAGTAATCACTTTGATTTGCAGTCTGCAATTTAGAACATGAATCCTGAGAAAGTTATTCAAAGTTTGGAGGTCACAGGGATGCATAATATTAGAAAGGATGTAAACAGAAGAGAGAGCTAAAAAAAAAAAAAAATTGAGAAAAGCTTGGGGTGGGGGGGAGGACTTTTGCTGATGTCATTCAGTATCCAGGCTTGAGGTGAAGAAACAGCATCCAGGGGAAAAAACAGACTCAGAAACTGTTTCTGGAAATATCTGCAAAGAACCAGGAAGGAGTGGTGACTCTGGAGTAAAGTGATGTTCAAGGAGGAAAGAAGAGCCCAGCATGGTGGGGCATGGCTGTAATCCCAGCATCCTGGGGCGGGAGGCAGAAGAATCCAGGTGCAAGCCCAGCCTGGATGATTCAATAAACTCGGTGAAACCCTGTCTCAAAAAATAAAAAAGGTGGGAGCATAGCTCAATGTGAAGACCCCAAGTTCAATCTCCACTACCACAGGGGGGAAAATGAGCGATCAGTCAACTCTGTCCCTGTAGCTCCCTATCTACCATCTAACTCAACCCTCCTTTACTGCCGAGCCTCTGCTCTGAATGCTCCCTTCTGCTTTCTCACCACTTTGTTTTATTCTTTTTCTTTCTCTTTAAAGTATTTTCTCATCTATGAAAATTCTATCTATCCTTCAAAATGCAGGGAAAAAGCATCAATGTTGCAACGTATTTTGTGACTTCTATAACAAAATAAGTTTTTTCTCCATAATATCTGACAGTCCACTGTGTATCATATTTCATTCTGCTTTGTACTGTAACTGTGTGTATTCTTTCTTTAGATTTCCTGTATACCAAATATACAGGCCCCAAAACTTCATAATGCATCTAAGTAATACCATAGATGCTCATAAGGCTTTTCATAGAATCAAATATAAAAATATAACTTTTGAGGCTAAAAATTATTTTCAGAAAAGAATCTCTTTTATCACTTTAAATTTCTTTTTGCTACCACATGAACCATCTGCACCCAAGCCTAGGAATTTTTACCTATTTTCCTGGCACGTTTAGTAAGAGTGTTCATTCCCAGGAAACAAACTGGTCAAAAGCCATCCTTTTAAAAGACTTTAAGGGCAGGGAGGGGAAAGACTATGATAATGTGGGTAAATTTTCAGGAACAGGCGTTGGATAAATACTGAACTAATCATTATTTTAAAAACTATTTAAACAAATCTTTCCCCCAGATCTCAGGTATGAAAATAGCAGATTATAAAAACCCCATGAAACAACTTTTGTGATTTCCTAAGCTTTAAACTATAAAACTACTAAGACTGCCCTATTCTAAGCCTTGCTTAGAAGTTAGGTAGCAGAATTTGTGAAAATTGGTAAGAATGTGTTATAAATGTTTTCACTTCCTGAAAAAATATTATGAAGTGACAGATATGTTAATCAGCTTGTTTTAATATAAATATAATGTATTTATACATATATGCATATTATACACATTCTATATCTCACATTGGGCATTATAACTGTATACAATTTTACTTGCCAACTATACCTTAACAAAAATAAGTGTCAACAAATTAAAAAAATAGAAAAGTCCTAGAAATGTGAGTTTAATCATAAAAGCCATCAAAGTAGAAGGAAATGGGCTTACATGTAGGACAGACGTGGATCTGACACTCAGCTCCATCACTTGCTATTGGCACAGCCCTCAGCAAACTTTTAGGCTTTCTGAGCCTTTATTTCCTCACCAGAAAAATAAACCTACAAGTAACTGACTTTAATAATGATTCACTTAGTTACTATAAGAAGAAATGCCTAGAACAAAGTGGGCTTTTATTAGATGCAGTTGCTAGTTGTGACAAGTTTGAAGACATTGTTTGTAGCCTTAAAGCAAAGCTTACTGTTCATTTTTGGAATCCAATTTGGTAGTAGGGACCACTTACTGACTACCTCCTGTGTGCCTTGTGTGTTCTAGATTTCCAGACAAATACCACAGTGACTAAGAGTGTGCACTCTAACATCAAAACTAGTGAGTTTACATTCCATCCCCATCACACAGCAGCTATGTGACATTGGAGAAGTTGTGCAATCTCGCCTTAAATCTAGTTTGTTCTATAAAAATAAAATTATAATAGGACTATGTCATAAAATTGTTATGCACATTAAAGGAGACCATGCATATACATTTCCCTGTCATATAGTCAATGCACAATAAACAATTAGCTAATGTTATCATTACTATTTCTTTTGTAGATGTTAGGAACCAATCCCTAAAGGAGTTAACTAACATCCTAGGTCACACAGTTAGGGAGTCTCAAATCTAGGGCTTCTTGATTCCAAATCTGTGCTTCTTCTTTAAATCCACTGTTACAGCTTATATCTAGATGTCCCCCCAAGCCTCATGTAGTCATAGGTGGGGCTTCACTGAGGTGGCTGGATCCAGGGTGTGTGCTGCTGGGGTCAAGGACATGATACTAGGATTGATTCATGGT